CCACGAGGCTCCCCTTCCAGCAGTAGCCAGCCTCACACCCTGCATACTCAGAACGCAGTTCCAGGGCACAGTTGAGCAATAGACTCGAGCTCTGGGCTACAAATATCCTGGGACCTCGAACTTGTGCAGGACATTGAGACAACCTAGCCTCGATCAAGCCAGGGCTGTGGTAAGTCCTTCAAGTATGAAATGCCGACAAGGGAGAATTGGTGAGCAAGCCACAGGTGTGTGTTACTTGGTACTGCCCTGTGTCTGTGAACTTTAAATAACTATGAAAACCATCAGTTGTTCAGCAAAGATTTATCAAAAGTCTATTTCATGCTGGGTGTTAAATGAAGCTTCTTATTCTGGGAAGCAGTCTCCTGGGCTGCAGGCAATCTGTCCTGGCAACCTATGAAGGACACTTTGGAAGGGCCCAGTCGACCCTGCGAATGGTAGCTGCTGCCAGAGGTTGAGAGCACTTGATTAGAACATACGTTTCCTTTCCCTGGATCATAAATGCGTGCTCATGTGCACACACAGACACACACACACACACACACACACATACGACACACACGCACACATACACAGACACACACACACACACACACACACACACACACTCAATGCCCGGTCTGAAAATGAAGTCTGCTGAAGGACACAGAAACTCGATAGCCAAGGCATTTTTGTGGAGGTGTTACCAGGACTGTGAATGATATTTGGAAGAAAGCAGAATGGCCTGGTTTTTCACTCCTCTTGGTTTCCCCATTGAGGAGATGCACGCACTCTGCCTGTACTCATCAGTAGAGTTAGTGCACATACTGTTCCCTTCTGGATCCACAAGACTGGACTCGCATCTAGTTTTTCATTTTCTTAGTGCCCTGCGCAGTGCTGAACACTGAATCAGGAGCTGGTTCCTGGCCTGTGTCTAGCTGTCCCCAGAGCCTCAGACAGCATAGGTGGGGCTTCTCAGGGGTAGCTGCGTGTCAAGGGTGATGCTGGGATTAAGGGTGTGCTGAGCCAAATGACTCCGCTCATTGGTCTGGGTGGGGAGAAGGGGAAGGGCCACCTGGTGTCAGACTGGATCGAGGGAGTATGGAGAGAGCGCGGCCACCTTGCAGGTCAGCTGCTGCTGCTGCTTCACTGCTCCGCCGCCTTGCTGCCTTCTGCCCCGTGCGCTGTTTCTCCACTGTGACACCATCCTGCCCTGGAGTCAGCTGGTCACACACTAAAACTTCTACAAACCGAGCTGAAACAGATCTCGTCTCCTTTCACTCTGGGTGTTAGATATTTGGTCCCAGCAACAAGCAAAGCCACTGAGATGAGGTACTTGGTGGTTATAACACACTAGAAAATTATATACAAATATTGAATTGTAATAAACCTACTTTCTGTGTCAGTCAACTCACGATGACCAGCAGCACACTGAACTTCTGTGGCTTCTATCCACAGCCTCTGTTCCTCAGACTGTGCAAACTGGCGAGGCCCCTGACTGGGTGGGCTTGCCCGGGATGCTTTTCTCTAAATATTTATTGTAGAATCTAACCTGTAGCTGCAGCTGAAAGCTACAGAAAGCCAGGGGAGGCTCTTATGGCAGCACTTCTGCAAGCATAATAATCTTCGCATACATCACATCTGTTCTCTCCCCACCGAGTCACATAGCTAAGCTCAAGGTCACGGGTATAGAAGTAAATTCTGCTCAGCTGTGCTGGAGAAGTCAGGAAAAGCCGAGCCCGAGATCGACGCAGCAGGGAAGTGCCTCCTTCCGTGATGCCACTGGGGGCTGGGGTGCAAATGCTTGCACAACAGCGAGGCTTGCTCCCTGCCTCCCGGAGGACCCCACAGCTGTGCCCTGAGGAGCTAAACGCTGTGGGGTCAGGTGCACACTAAATCTTTAAAACCAATAAAACAGTCACTAAAGGAAGGCCTGTGGCTGCACAACTTTCCTGCCTCTGAGGAACAATCCTGTGTTTGAGGAGCAAGCAACCCACACAGCAGATCAGAGTCCAAGCACTTACTTCACTGACTTGGATCGAACACCTTACTCTGTCTTTCTCTGGAGTCCATTGTCTTGCCTCTAAAGCATGCTACCTGGTCATGAGAGCATGCATTCTGTCCCAGCACGTCGCACACCCAGAGGTGGGTGCTTCTATAAATCATTGACCAAGCTATTGGTTTACTGAGTATTTTTTTAATCATTAACTTACCCAGAGAGTGAGTTTTTAAACAGTCTTTTCGGCATTTAATTTATGTATACAATATTACCTCTCCCTGAATTTGTCCATATTGACTGTGTAATTCAATAGATTTCAGCAAATTTCATATCAGCCGGCTTTAGTAAAAGCACACAGCCATCGCTATCCCTTTTAACACTTTTCCAGCACCCTACGAAGCTACGCTCTCCACCACAGCCAAACCTTGGAACCTTAGCCCTCGGTGTCATTTGGTTCCGGGAGCGTGGCAAGCATAGTAACAAATTATGTAGGCTGCAAAGGGTAGCAAGTCACAGGGCCGACACGTTCCACCATTCACATCGAGCACCAAGCCCCAAGTGCCCAGACGAAGCTTGCATCGCAGCGTGCCAGGCTTCCAAGCAGCCAAGCACAAAGTAGGCTAAATGGAAGCACCAGGCAGGGCTCACTGCTTTGGAAAATGGGCTTTGTTAGCTAGTGTGTTTCAAGGGTCACTGATGTCGCACATATACTGTAAGTTGTTCCTTCTTATTGCTCTATAGTGTTCATATATATATATATATATATATATATATATATATGTTTTCTCTGGATCAACATTTTCATCTTTAATCTCATTTTCCCAATATTGTCATAGCCACTATAGCAAATTACATTTGCTGCAAATAAATCTGGTAGCTGCAAATTACATAACACAGAGATGCAATCGCAGCACACACATGTAGGGAGGCTGTCCCCACATGAATACATCGGGAAGAGAAAGGCGTGTGGAAGCACCTCAACCCTGAATTGATCACGGCAGCACGACGTCAGTGCAGGCTGCCTCTGGCCTCTCCCGTCACAAGAGGTGCTCAAGGCGGTAACCGCTCGCTCCCTGACAGACAGCAATATAGCAAGTTCCTGAATCGTGGGTGGATACATTTTTAATGGACTCGGTATATGTGTAGACATACATTTTAAAAATTTTAGACATTTTAGATTTACCAAAAACATACACAAATAGTAGTTTCTGTATACCTCACCCTTCGAGAGGTTTTAGTAACATCAGTCATAATTAACACCTTATGGTATTGTTCAATTAAACAATTTACATTCTTATATTAAGGCACGGTTGCCCAAAGTCAGTGCTTTACCCAGATTGCTCGTCTCCTTCTACCGTCTGTTTCCTGGTCCCAGACCTGGGCCACTGGGCCACGACGCGTTTCCACCTCAGATCTCCTTTTCTCCCCTCCCCCAGGCATCTTCTCAGTTCCCCGGCTCTCCATCACATGCAGAGGGGAGTCCCGGCCGACACCTGCATTGGGTGGGGCCTTCCCCATGAGCCCAGGCCCTGGCTTTGCAGGAGGAGGACAGAGGCCACACACTGTCTCATCCCACCTGGCCCGGGAGACTCCGCCCTGGCGCCCGGCTCACAGCTGTTGACTCAGTTGGCTGAGGTGGCCTCTGCTGGGGTCCATGCTGCAAAGCGCCTCTCCTCCTCCCCATCTCCACGTGAAGCCCTTTGAGAGAAGTCACTGTGCCACAGCCCACGTCTAAGGGTGGACAGTTAAGCTGCACATTGATGACAGACACAGCTGTAATCAGTGCCACACAAATCATTTTAGCCTCCTCCTCCTTTGCTTATCGATAAACTCCCTCTCCGAGGGTTAGAGACCTGGCCCCCACCACCTGGCCCCAACTTAATTGTTGCTCAGCTCCTGAAGACATACCTAGGGCAGCCAGAGTCGAGCTGTCCCCCATGGAAAATAACATCAGCAGCCAGAGACGGGGTTCGCAGATTCCCTGTCGTTAGATTCGAAGCCGCCACTCCTTTTCAGAGCTCCTCGGGTCAGCATCGCTCCCCATGTTCTCAGTGTGTGAGACCCCAGGCCTGGGCTTCCTACTTACAGAAGTACGAGATAACAACCAATGCTCATTGCTTTAAACTCCTGGATTTGTGGCAACGGGTCTGCAGTGACAGAAAGCAAACACGCAGACCTGTCATGATGTAACCATGCCTGGATGACGGGAGCCGTCTTTGCAGGTCACAGGAGACGCCACTCAGTCAGCAATTCTGGGACAGGAGGTCACAGGTATAGAAACAAGGATTGGATCTCTACATCAAAATATGACAAGGCTGTAGAAACCTTCCAGGGCTCATAAGACTTCAGAAGCTCCTGAGCCTATGGTAAGGAGAAACAATCAAAAATGTAGAGTCCACGCTGGGTGTGGTGGTGCACACCTGTAATCCCAGGACTCCAGAGACTAAGGCAGGAGGATCACTGTGAGTTTCAGGCTAGCCTGGGTGAGACCCTGTCTCAACAACCACAACAAAAGGTAAAATACAAATGCTACAGTCTCAGTACTCAGGAGGCTGAGGCAGGAGTGTCATGAGAAGCCTGGGCTACATAATGACACCTTCCTGCTTCAAAAAAAGAAAGAGAAAGGAAGGAAGGAAGAAAATGAGGGGGGAAGGGAGGGAGAAAGATTTTTAAAAAGGAAGGAAGAGAAAAAGGAGGAAGGGAAGCAGGAACGGTGGAAGGAAAGAAGCAAGGGGGAAAACAAAATGCCCATCAGTTGAGGAACAGAAGAAAAAGATGTGATATTTCTATAGGATGGAATATTACTCAGATATAAAGAAAGACAAACCTGAAGGCTTCACAGGTAAGTGGGTGCAACTAGGGATTGTGCTCATAAGTGAAACAGACCAGACGCAGGAGCAGAAGAGTCACATGGTCTCCCTAGTGCAGGGACCAGAAAAACAAATAAAACCTGAAAAGTGTAGTAGACATAGTAAAATGGAAAGAAACCGAATTTAAGGATTATACAACGCAGATGAGAGGAAGGAGAAAAGATAGGAAAAAGGAATGAGGGAAAACCATGCAAGTATATATACAGGATGGCTGAGATGACTGTACTCATAATTTCTATCAGCTTTTTGAATGTAGCAGCTAATATTTAGAATTTTCACCTTGACTAACTCTGTATACTGATATCTGTGAGCTGAGCAATGACATCGAGGACAGCAGTGTGTATACAAAACCCATGGTTGATTGCCTCTCATCTTGGCCTGCTAAATGTGTACCATTTCTAATGTCTTATCAATTACTATATTCTCTTTAAAATAAATTTTTAAAAAGACAAGGAAGAAAATTAAGATTTCTTGAAAGCAAGCATTAATATTCAATTATTTCCCCAATCTTGCATAACTCTATCTGTTAATCTTAGCATCAGATTTGATGATAAAAATAGGTGATACAAGAACCACTGTTAATTAGCTATTCCTGTTTTGAAAATCTGTAACATATGTATTGTTGTAAGAAGAAAATGGAAAGCAAAGAAGGGGAGCCTGAAGCAGGGCTCTGCGGTGTTGGAAGTGCACAGCCCACCTGCAGAGCAGGCGCGTCGGTGCTGGGCGCCCCTGAGAGGCAGCGCAGTAGGAAGGCGGAGGAGACAGGCAGAAAGGAGACCAGGAAAACCGTAATTTTAAAGTTTTATTTTTAAAGAAACTACAGCTTTAAGACAAAATAAAAGTTACCCAAGACTTTCGTTCTCTTCCTGGAGACTCACTTGGAAAATTCCTAAGTTTTAAAGGTACAGTAAGCTCATGAATTGGACCTGTGCTTTTCATCTACCACTTGAGCTGGCGCTGTTCTTCCAGTACTAGGGCTTCAAATTCTGCCCAATAAACAGTACTGCTCATTGAGTTCCACGTCTCTGAGCTTCACACACACGCAGATGTTGGCCCCTCCCCTGGTCTACCGCAGGTAACCTGACACAAGAATGCACAGCCAGGAGCCTTGCAGAGACCCAGCGTC